ATTTCCCGATATTACGGCTTAATCTTTCGTCTCCTTTCTGATCTCACATTTACCATTAGCTCGTCGCTTGTTACATACACACGTAGGTTCTTCCGTTAATTATAATTATAATTATAATTATTATCCCTGTATCGTTTTCACGAAAGCATGCGCGTACTTGTGTCAGTGCACAGGCCATCCCATTTTCGGACAATTCTCGGTGATTGACTTCGCGGGTTAGCGGCGCCGCAACACAACAAGAAATTTATCCGAACGAATGTTACACGAGTCGGTCGGATGAAGCGATGAGCAAGATTACCATATTCGCATTTCAGTCTTTATGGACACAAACATGCGACGCCAACTTTTAAGTCACTAAATTGTCTCACACAAATTCACAAATTGTTCGCCGCCAACCGCGATGTGCATGCTTTCGACGCCGAATGAGGGCACATGGTCTTCGGCGATGACAATTCTGGAATTCTCTTAAGAGAAAACAGAAATAGTAAACGACGATGATAATAATAATATACATAGTGCATCAGTTTTGAAATGTGTGACGAAATAGTGAGAGCCTTTCGTCATCTTTCCAAATTTTATTCTTATACTAAGTTCGCTACATAAACGGCAACAGGTTTTTTTCTCTTTATTGTAAAATGACAGATACAATATTTAAATCAATCGATCTTTTGTAATTTAACGTGTCACTTGACCGACCGAATACTCTAATCAATGGATTATTTTTTTTTTTTTCTCCCTTCGAATGATGCCCGCCTCATCAGTTTCCAAATAAGAATCGTCGTTTGCAAAAATGGACAAATTGGTATCATAAAGAGCATCAAATCGTCCGATCTAGTTGCCTGCATGTTATTATCGAACATCATCGCCTTATAATCTCACCAAGGTTCATTCACAAAAATATTTGGTAAAAATGAATCATTTGCTTTCATGAATCCTGTTTCCGCACCTCCGATGCGCGATTATACAGTATTTAAGGAAACCTTCCGGACCATAAATTTATCACCATCACATCAAATGACATGACCGAAATCACATAATTCGACGGTGTCAATTTCTGTTTCGAAAGGTTGTCACGATGATGCATCTAGGATTTCTGGGATGTCACCACCGCCGTCATATTACCCGATTGATTGCACGAAGTTAAATCATGAGAAAAGCTCAATTAAGGAAATCGATCGCTCTTTTGTAGGTGATGTACTTGTTTTGCGCCACGTAGAATATAAAGTTAGGCAAAAAATCAGAGTAGGAATTTGGGCGTGGTGTACACGACAATTATGATTCAGGTACGCATGTATGCATATATGGTTGTCATCATCACTGTCACCCTATACTGTAAGTTTGTTTTGGGATCACACGATAATGAATGAGAGATAACCCCACCCACTTTGACTTGGTAAAACAAATCGATAATCCTTCTAAAGGAATTACTAATCATACGATAAACTTGGTAGGTACAACAATGCCATAAATGAGTCAATCAGGTAAATGAATTAAACCAAGTGTTTTCTAGTGGGTTTCTCCTTGTTGTTTACGCATCTTCCGTTCATATAATGTTACACACACACGCATCGCAGCCATTGACCTCATATTGCTACGGTAATAGACCTTAAATGATGTTCGGCAGACCGTAGAGAGACGAAAGTGTGTTCAGGTGCACCTTCGATAAATCCTGTATTAATCCATTCGGTGTTTGCACCGTACATACAGTATATCACCGTGTATACATTACGTAATACCGTGTCACCACCATCATCAACATCAACATCACCCACCACCACCATCACCCACCACCACCATCACCCACCACCACCATCACCTCATCACCCATCACCTCATCACCCCCATCACCCATCTTACCCCTTAAAATTTTATGATCGGATTTTTAAGTAAAAAAAAGGTTTAATGATATTTGGAGTGCGGGGGGATTGGGGAATATTCCAAAAGAGACGCGTGAAAAAATGTGTATTGTGCGTATATCCTTTTGCGTGAAATAAAAAAAAAGGGTTGATTGCGGTTACGTAATTATAGTTGATTGTATGTGACCATAAATGGAAAAGAGAGTCATAACAACGAAAAAAAACTTTATTCATATGGAACGAGTACAATGAGAGTGAATAATAATGGTTGGTATCTCGCGCACATTATCACCAATTGAGAATTACTTGAAATGGAGAGATGCGACCCAATCGAATCCACTTGACGCGTGACGCGTGCAATCTACACTACTATTAAAGGGAGTTCTTCCATCGAACTCGTGATCAACGATGATCACGACAAAATTTACCTTCATCTCTTCCCAGGGGAAATTATTAAAACCACTCTACACTTTAAAGGACATTTGAATTATGTTTTCGCCATTCTCTTTAGAGACTAATCTCTGGTTATACGGTGTTGTTAAAAAGCGACTGCAAGAAAAAGAAGAGGAAACAGGCGCATCTGGAATGCCGATGCAGATCAGCAGCGCAAATCAGCACGCATGACGGTAAATAAAGTTTAATGTCAATGTGGAATGTGGATCTAATTTTAGAACTCATTTTCATTGTCGTCCTAGCACATAACCAATTATAGATGGTCAAAGGTTTCTTTCATGTCAAAATTAAAAGAAATCATGATTTTGTGTCTTCGCATACACACAATATTCAACCAACTAATTTGGAATCCGATTAAAAGAATGTTCCGATCCTCTCGATATTAAATTCGACGCAGGATGCGTACATGACATTGGTTTTTTTATCAAACGCTTGCAATGTTTCACAGGCAATGATTGTTTCAGCGAAGGTTTTTCGATCGACTACCATTTGATATTCTATGGTGGCAGATTACGTAAGCGCATACCCTACTTGTATTTCGTATGCATATGCAACTTTGCATATGCATAAATTGAATTATTCCTTACACGAACTTGTGAGTCCGAGATTCCAAGAGAATATTAGAAGATGCTGATGAGTCATCAGTTATACGACACATGAGAGTGCGTGCGTGCGTGTGAATAAACCATCGTCTCATTAGTATATATCAATGTATTCCTCGTTAATGCCACATATTGAAAGATTCCGCTTACGTTATCCTTTAGGAATGACGATTCGGACTCTTTCTCTTTTCGTTTAGGAATTCTCAAACATTGAATTTATCATTCTTTTCTTCTTTTTTCTTTTTTTGTCATTAGCAGGTGCTTCTATTTTTACACATCCTTTATTTATCTTTGAAACGATTAAGAGGTTGAGAATAACTGCACGGGGAATTTCGTATACTTTCAACTTCTGATAAGCAAGAATTTTTTGTACAGCTCGATTTCCCATCCTTTCAACTTAAAACAAAAATGGATGGAAACGGAAAAAATATCGCTCATCCATCCCTCCTGCCAATCTCCGGCCACTCCGTTCACAAGTGTCACTACGGTCGGTCATTTGCCAAAGTCAATAATACCTTTTTCAACCTCTTTTTGATTCATGTCATTAAAGTATCGTAAAGGTGCTATCAAAGTATTGTAGAGGTAATATTAAATCAACTCAATGTAAATTTAAAATTTTTATTCGTATATTATCTAAATTATTGCATGCATGTAAAAATTTTTATTTTAACAATATATTTACTGTAATTTTTAATCTATTTATCAAAAAAAAAAAAAAAAAAATTTTTTTTTTTTTTTTTTTTTTTTTTTTTTTTGATTAATTATTGATATAATGGTTTTTTTTTAGTTTGCAAATAATAATAATAATAATAATAATAATAGTAATTATTTTTAAAAAATCGAGAATAATTAAATAATTACCTTAACCTACAGTAATTATCAACTAAACAGGTTAACATTTTGAGTTTATTCTTCAAACTTTTATCATATAAATATAAAAAGGCTTCTTTCGTAGATATACAGTATGTAAAAATATTTAAAGAAAGAATATTCTTTAATATAATAAATTTTGAGTAAATTAATGAATTCATGATTTCAAATAAAATAAAAATCGAAAAGTAAAAAAAAATCGTGATCAAATTAAAATTCTATTAATTAATTGTAAGCTTTGTCAGTAAGCAAATATGTTTTTTGATTGATTTTAAATATAGTTTAATAATAAGTATTTTCTTAAAGTTTATTAAAAAATCATTGATTAATTTGTTTTTTTTTAAAAAAAAATTGTTTCTATATTTAAGCTTAATAAACAAATACAGCATTTAAACAAGAAATAAAACAACAATATTTTATAAATATGTTATACACATTAGAGCATTGAGTTTACTTTTCATTTCAACCAGACCATATATATTGTGCATATACTGTATATTACTTATAAAAATTATTCTAGTTTTATTTAAAAATAAAAAATAATTAAATACATGCATCCATTTTTCTAATTTCTATTTTAAAAAAAAGAAAAAAATTTTAAGTTATTTCATAAAATAAAGTTTAATCTCTATTATTTAGGTCATTAAAGAAGATAATTTTTCAAATCGTTTTATAATTCGAAAATTTATAAATGTATTTTAAGAATATATATATATATATATATACTGTATATATAAAAGGAATCAATCAAAATCATTTAACTGATATTCTTTACCCAAAATCCACTATGGAGCGAAATATTGTCCCCAAGGCCAAACTTAGAGGCTATTATTGCCTACGACGAGTTAGTTAGATTTGACATTGGTGGTGTTTAGCTGTAGTATGTATCATGCTGCTCGAATGAAAATGCACTTATATGTTTTCAATTGATTAATAAACTACGATCTAGCCTGACTACGGGTACTCAAAAAAAAAAAAAATCATCAATGATTCTTTTCTAAAAATTTATCATTTAAAAAAACCGATTTACTCGTAACTTTTTTAGCTTATAATCTGAAAAGTAAATGATAAATTCTTTATTATAAAATAATTTAAAATATATTTTGACAATAATACCTTTAACCGTCAAATATATTTTGTGTCAATGAAAAAGTATGCAACTCATGGCCGGGATTCGTCAAACTAAGTGATATAATCCTCTTCGAAAAACTTTACAATGTCATGCGCGGTCTCTGTATCCAACGAACAATCCAACAATTGTGATTCTGTAGCCGTAGACATATTGTGTAGAGTCCGGAGACCCTCTTGCAGGACGTAACAATCTGAAAACCGAACGCGAGTAGGATATGGTCAAAAAGTCGGAACGCAACTTAATGCCTTTCGAAGATTAGCGATCAGGGAAATACCATGTAGCCCAAGTTTCTTTGTCCCGGCTGTCATTTGGGCGACGACGTGAATCCACTTATTAGTTGTTGTTAAATTCGTTGGGTCGCTTTCTCGTTGCTGCAGCTCCTAGAATATATATAAAGATGATTTGTTTAATATTCGTAATAGGACTTTGACCCCAAAAAAGGAAATCACGAATGACTTTGTCTAAACGTTGAGCAATTTGAGGCTTATTTTCGGGGAGTAGTCCATTGTAAAATATGCGTAATAAAGTTGTTGTCTCCTTCGGGTTATGAACGGGAAGGATGTTGACGGTAATGTGGCATGCCAGGAGCCTTTATTAGAAAAAGATTACCACCAAGAAAAAAAAAAAAAACTCCAAACGAAGCCCACGCACGCAATCACTTAAACCTCCCCTCGTACCTTGCTTGAATATCATATAAAAATCGAGTATTCTCATTTTCAACGTGAAGCAATAGGATGGCTTTTCGGTGCCTTTGGATTGATCTTTGGATTCTATTAAAATAATGGAATCATAAATTGTTTGTTTATAAATATTAACCTTATCCATTAAGAAAACACCTGCCTGTTAGACAAGCTTCTAATAAAATCATTCACGTTATCTTCAGATTTACAAGAACTCCATTGTTCCTCATTAAAACAAAGAAACGTGATGTTTGGTTTTGGAAGAGTTATATCCTTATTCCGATATTATAAGTGATTCCTTTTAACCGAAATGGATACTTGACAACCGAAGAAAAACATTTCATGAGGCGTGTACTTACTCCGGGAGTTCCTTGAGTGGCTTCGATAACTTATTCGAACAAAGTCGCGTCAAAAACGCAAACCGCCAAACAGCAAAAAACAAGTTTAACGGGAAAAATTTTATGAGACACGCACACCTAACGCACCATCCAGAATTTTTCATTTCCCCACAAACTTCTTGCCAATACCCTGTTAAACCTTTATTATAAAGCGCAACAGGTTGTGAACTGCTTTGCATTTTTTCGTAAATCTTAAAATTGATCTTGGATCAGATATGTATGCACGCGATATTTTCTGTATTTTTATTACTTTCTTTAAATTCCGCTTTTTCCATCATTTTTACTCAGCAGCCATCGTTTTGCGAAATGCAGTACGTACAGTATTACGTAGTAATATTATAATGGTTCGCTCGGTGTTTTCATTGGCTGTGATTGACTCAGATCACGAGATCTTTGGTGTTTAATTCGCGTATGCATAGATGGTTTTGAATTCTCGCGTTCATTTCACTTTCGAACAACAGCGTTATAACAACGAAAAGACCTATGTTAGCTGGGGCATTTAAAATATAATGCCGAGGAACTTTTATTTGCGAGAAAAGAAATATGGATGCTAATTTCGAAAATTTCTCCTTCAAATTAACCAGGAAAGATCGGGACTAGAATCGTGACAGGAGTCTTAAACTTAAGTTGACATCTACTGATAGACAAGTTTCAAGATCTGTTTCTTTATTCCCTTGTTTCACGTTTGTCTTTAAAATAAATATTGTTCTGTCTTGGAAAGGGTAAGATAGATCTTTATTCAAATACTTTGAGTAAATCTTTTTTCCTGAAATTGGAAACTTTTACGAATGAAAAAAGTTTGATTTGCGTGAAGTTAAAGGTCGGAATGTACTTTTTTGCAATATTCTTGCATCTTCAAATAGGTATCCTGACAGGGTGAGCTTTGCTATTTTGTAAGCGTAGAGGTGAATTTGTTCATCAAACTCTTGCGTCCTTTGTTGGGTGTGTCCTGATGGAGAGGCGAGACATTGCATTTCTATAAATTGCCAATTAATGGATATGAAAAAAGGTCAGCTAGTGCTTTATAATTTGACCAGGAAATGTTAGGCTGGATAAAGAACCTTAGAATCTGGCGTTTGATTGAGGGTTATCGAAATCTCTCGTTATTAATTTCGTATCTGGATCTTCATTCATATTCTGTGGAGTATACTTCGCTTTGCAGAGTCCAGTTCTAAAAAAAATAGGCAAACATGCAACGAGAAATACAACCTTGATGGACTGCAATTAATAAACTTACAAATTGAATGATTTTCTGATAATCGCAATAGGAAATTTTACCGGAAGGGCGAGCAAAAAAGTAAGAGCAACTTCAAGAACGAAGATTTGTTCAGTTTTGCACCGGGGAGGCTTTCTACTGCCCATTGGATATTTCAATATTATTCAAAAAATGCTATATCGGTGAATGGTAATCACCAAAGAGCGTGATTTTGGGAAGATTTCTCGAAATTAATGAATATATCCGATCACAACCGCCCATTTTCGAATGAATTCAAAGTTCGCGAAGCCGTGAATGTCAATATTAATTTGGTCCTAAATATCTTATAAAGATAGATTATGAACCGTCGAACAAGTAACTTTATGTCGGTGAACCAGCGAGCCGGTTCAATCTACATTGTGATGGGTTTTGAATTCTCACCGAATGTTTATACGATGGTGGATTATCCTCTGCTACATTCTCCTTTATGATCTAGGATGTCGAATCAATTGAAATGGCCATGACATCCCCGCGTTTTGTCGGACTTCTGCACTTCCTGTTTACCTAAACTGATTCCACATGTTCATACCAATTATTAAATATACCATATAGTCAAGGAACCATGGACTACGAATTTTTGTTCAAATGATGATTTAATAGTACTGTATAATCCACTTCTGCAAATGTACTCTAAACCCATATACGGTACATCGAAGAAATGGGTTAAAATTGAAGCGTTGAACGACATGAATTTTTCACTCATCTTTACTTTTATGTAACACGGTTCATCAAGGACTCTATAAATTTTTAGATATTTAAATCATTTTAATGTATATAAAGATTTATGAATATTTTTTTTTGAAATATAATGATTTATAAAAATTTTCAGTTACTTATTAACTTTTGAATTTTCAACAATATACAGTATTTCAAAATTATGGAATTTATATTATCTCTTAATATTTATAATATTTTTATATTTTTTTTTCTAAAATTTTATACTAAATTTCATGAGTACTATTGATGGTTTTGAACTAGTTAATTTTATTTTTTGATCCTATGCTTGGTGCTATATAGCTGATCAGCTCAAAGGCATATGTTATAGGTTTCCCATATTTTCAAAAAACCAAGATCATTTATAACTATATATTGTATATACTGTAGATTCAATAAGTCACCTAGTACAAATATAAATATAATAACTAATATTAATAATATTTTTATCTTTTTTATAATATCATATAACTATATAATTAATTTTTAAACCCTTTGTCAATCTAGGTATATTTGCTTTATTAAACATTTTGTCTATTTTATATTATAAAATGTATTATTAAAACTAAATATTTATTTAACTCATTTATCTCTATTTTGAAATTTATCAAAACACTAAGTATAACATTAAAAGTGATTTATTGCTTTGTTAGTAGTTTAGATAAAGACCCTTTTAACTATTAACTTTATTACCTATAGGTCACTACTGCAGATATATAATTATATAATTATATTTGACTCTTAAATTGATTATTTCAATATCTTTTAATCCATTAATATTTATTATCTTTTTACTTTTGTCCTTATTAAAATAAAGAGTTATAAATTTTGTTCCTTAAAAAGGGACATAAGTAATCTGTAAAATTTTATATGCTAAATACTTTAAGGACCTATTCTTAGTCACAGGTAATGACAAAGAAGATAAAGTGTCTCTTTTGAGATTTAAGCAAATAATATCTAAGAATATTGAAAGATACTGTATAATACATTCTATTGAATACATACAAAAAAAAAACCCAATTTAGTAAAACAATAAAATATAAAAATTAATAAGTTTAATATTAACTAGTCTAGTCATATCATTGATAATTGTATATTAATTATCTGATATCTAATTAAATTTGTTCATTTAAGAAGTAATAGTAAGTCTAACTAGAATAAATTATAATAGATTATTGTTTTTTTTTTTGTTTTTTTTGAGTATCTGTAGTCAGGCTAGATTGTTAGTTTATTAATCAATTGAAAACATAAGTGCATTTTCATTCAAGTAGTATAATATATACTATAACTAAACTATTATTCTAATCTAACTAATCTGTCATAAGCATAATAAAAACCTCTAAGTTCAACCTTGGGAACAATATTTTGCTCCACATTACTTTATTAGTGTTTCAGATAAAGGCTCTTTCAACTTTTACCATTATTTCCTACAGATCACTACTGTAGATCACTCATTCAAGTTCTGACAGAGATCAAAACCCAATCACTTTTTATCATACTTTACATCATTTAGTAAGATTTCTTCCAACTTTTTGTTTTAAATTCTTTTTTTTTCATATATTAGTTTTTTAATAAATAAACTTTTTGTACACTTGATTTTACTTTCTTGATTTCAATATATTGATCTTTTTATCTTGTCACATTTATGGATTCCCAATATTTGTTTTCACTTAATTATCTTTTCATATCTGATATTCTATATATTCTTTTAGAAGTTGTTACATACTTTCTTCTATATTTTTATTATTTATCTTCCTATCTCTTTTTCAATTCTCTTACTATAGTACTTAAGATCAGCTATTCTTATAATTAGATCTTTTTCTATTAATTTTATACAGAAGCTGAGTATATTATAACTGATTTCTGAAATTCTTTTCATCAGTTTCACTATCTGTTTATTAATCTCTCCTATTTCTATTCCATTATTTATTATTAAGTTTAGCTCTTTATCTTCTAATTCCTTTTTCTTATTCTTCAAGAGTTTTTTAAATCCTTTCAAAACTCTATCTATTTCTTTTTTCATGTCTCATTCTACTGAATCTTGTAAGTTGAGTATTCTAGCAAGTGTTTTATCATTTTCTCTTCCTAATCACACATAATATATTTTACTTACTTATAAAATCTGGTCTTCTTATAGCTAGTTTAGTCAACATTGATAGCTCATTATTGATCAACATGATGAGAAAACTTTTATTTTGTAAGCTCTTAAAGAAGATATTTTATATATACCTATTCTTTAAATATTTCTATACTAGGTTCCA